GACCATGTATGAAGGTACCATACATACAGAATATATGTGCTCCAGCAGGTGCCTGAAGGATTAGATCCAGTGGTGCAGCGGTCTAATAAGTCGTGTCATGATGCGAAAAAAAGTGGATCAATTCCCTCCGCGGGTCTTCATCCGTGAAATGACTCGTACTTAATGCATGTTTTTGGAATTCGAACTTTCAGCTTGCATGAGTATTGTTGCTTTAAATAGATCATGTGAACATGAATAAAATCCTTTATTTGCGCAAGGTTTGCCCTTCAATTGAGGCCTAGCCAACAGTAACTTCAGCTAAATGTGAGAAATATGTACCTTGGGCGATGGAACGACTGAAAAGGTAGTCATAATTCGATCCGGATATTCTTCACGAATCTTTGAGATCAACAGTGTACCCATTCCGGAGCCAGTACCGCCTCCAAGCGAATGCGTGAATTGAAAACCCTACACATTTCAACACGTTCAATTGCTCCAACATTTCTTTTTACTTTTTAAAATTTTTCCCATTCGTTTTGCGCTGCAACAGCAATTAACCTAGGTGCCGTCGCACTGACAGCCAGTGCAAAGATTCGTTGTTATGCGTCTTTGCATGTATGCAAATGCAGCTTAGGTAGCGATGCACCAGGCTTGCCGGGACGATCATGCCTTTTTGCACTAACATCAAAATAACCAGATCGTTAACAGAATAAATATTTGTTGCATTACATCTTAAAATATGTACTCATCTTGATGGAGCAATGAAAAAAATTTTTTTCCCCCATATAGGAGAAAAAGGACGTCGGCTGGGATGGTAATGTTGCATCAGAAGGCCGCATTTAACCTTATCCTCCAACATGTGTGATTGCTGTAAATTTTGCACTAAGAGGAATGAAAAATTAGCTAACACCAGTCGACCGTTAAGGAGCAAGATGTGGGAAGCATAAAGAAATCGCATAAAATTTTGGCATCCCATACGTGACAGCCAAACATACTTAAGAATTGAATTTGAAGTCTTAGTATCATCATATTTAAACAAGGAACATCCTCTTAATTTCAGCTCCTGATTTCCGAATCATTAATTTTGGCGCCAAAACTTTCTCGTGCCCATGCCTGGAAATTAGGCGTGCACAGGGTCTAAATTTATACATAGGCAGAAGTATTATTCTGACATTTAGACTTCCTAACTTTCACGGTCCTCGAGCTATCAATTTTGGCCTCGAAGATTTCACGCGTCTGTACATGAGAATTAGACGCAAGTGAAGGCTGGGTTTAGCTCTGCAGGGTCACATATGGGCAAAGAAAATTTTCCTGAAATTTCAGCGACTCCTTCAGATCTTTACATCACATCATTTCCAAACGTCCCAAGTGATCTGGTAAACGGCTTAAAGTGCTGCGCGGGAGAATCGTCTGTGGATGCAGGGGATTTTTTTGTTTTTTGCAGAATCTACTAAGAAAAATTCAACCTGCAAGCAGTCGCAAGCTTCGGCCTCCTTGCGGATCACATCCAGCACACTGTCCACTAGCTCTGCTCCTTCCGTATAGTGGCCTTTGGCCCAATTGTTACCCGCACCGCTTTGGCCTGAAGATTATGCTTGAAGAACTCTGTTACCCTAGATTGAATTAGTAAGAAGAATGGCATGACGGAGTCAAATGCATTTATGTTTTTAGTGGAGCCGTAGTTCATAAGGGCTCTACAGGTCTCAAACACATTGTTTCTACTGAGGCAAATATTCTATTGCCCCAACTTTACGCGAAATCTTCAGCCTTAACAATGTCGTACATTCGCGAATCGTCGAGCAAATTTTCCATGTAAAAACTGCCATTTGAAAAAGCAGTTAAATCTTTCAAAGAATTTATTATACATTGATCAGCATTCTTCAGTTGTGCTGATGTTGCTTTTCCAGTTGCCTTGAACAGTATTGTACTGCTCAGCTACTGTGTTTGTTTTTTCCAAATTACATGCAGAAAAACTTACCAAAAACAAAAT